AAAAAGAAAAATACAGTATAGAATGTGCCTCATATCATCCATATAAATATAGTTTTGTTATCATATGTTTTTTAAGTCTATCACATCACATTTTGTTGTTGGTTTTTGTATGCTAATTTTTATGTTGTCGCTTTGCAGTTGTTACATTCAATTTTTGTTTTTACCATAATTGCAGCATTTATACATAACGCGGCTTTTCCAAAAAAAAAAATAAATAAAAACAAATGCATGTATTAAATACTGTTTTTGAAACAATATTTTTTTGTTCAAAAGATTTGTTTTTCCCCCCGCTTTATTTTCTTTGTTACGATCCGTATGACGGCTAAACAAAGTATTTTTTGTTCACTGCAAAAACAACAGCAAAAACATTTTTTTATGTATAAAAATAAATATTTTGTTTTCTTTTCGATAAACAATGTTAATTTTCCAATTATGTGTTCGAATTAGAAGCTACATATGTATGTATGTATGTATAAAAAAAAAGTGAAAAATAAAAGCGTTTATTTAATTCAACATTTCTAGTTTGTTTTAACTAAGAGATCTTTAGGTTGAGTACAACATATGGTAGTTGAACATCATTGAATACTGCTAATGTCCAAATTAATGTGATTCGGTGAAAACATTTTCTTTCGCTCGTCACAAATGAAAAATGCCACGAAAGCTTATACGGCGAATGGCGTTTTGGTTTCGGTATTTACTATAATTTTGTCCGTTTTTTTTTTTTGTTTTTGGTTAAGTTCCTGCCCAAAAGTACCTACATATACAATGCATTTATCTGCCACGAAAACGAGTTTATCGCTTTTTCATCGTTAACTAACGAAGTTGTTACATACAAATGACGTATGTATAGAGTTATACTCGTATATTTTGGTAAGCCTATATTTTTTTTCTGCAAAACCATGTGATTGCGGCTGTTTAGTAACATTTGATACAATTTTTATATTTACGAAAAAACTAAGAAATTAATTGTGAAAAATGCCATTTTCAGTTGATTTTGTTTCTTAATTTTGCTTTAGTGTCAACAGCAAAGTTGGTAGAAACATTGTATGAAATTTGTTAGTTGTTTAACCAAATGCCCCAGTTAATTACTACACACATTTTTCAATGGTTTTTCTCTCAACGAGAAATTTAATTTGCAAATTGCTTAACTGTGTTAGCAATAGCATAAGTATATACATTGTATATATGTATATGTATGTGTGTTTGTGCATACATGCTTAATGTATGACTGTAAATTTGTTTGGGACTTTTTGGTTAGGAATATTCGAATAATTGCATTTTGTTTAGTGAAATACAAAACTATTTCTTATAAATTAACGTTCACGTTTTATGTTTTCGCTTATTTCCTCACATTTACAAATATATATGTATATATACTTAGCATACATATATATATGGCATTTAAAAAAATATTTATATTTGTTAACTTCTATCCTGCTTTGCACACCTTCAATTTCTTTTTTGTTTGTATAATTTGACTTTGGCTTCGATACTAACAACTTTCAGCAGTTAAATTTTTTAGATTTACTAAAAGTAATTTTAACACACTATTTCTTCTCAATATTAAAATTCGAATGCAAAGTCGCTTGCAGACTTTCGTGTTACTTCGGTAGGAATACGAACAGCAGCGGAATAAAGCACAAAGTGAATGAGTTGGCGACAATTTGAATATACTACTCAAATATTTGTTTTAAAATTTTATTCAATACGAAATGACTTTCATGTAAAGGTGGAGGAATGGCATACATCAAATTCAAAAAGCAAACTCAGCGTGCTCAAACTACTACGATTGCTAAATAAATTTATTTATAGGTTATATTTCAGCTGGGAAATGACAAAAGTATTTCTTTAAAAGTTTCCATAGGGCTTACGTGTATTCTTTTACAAATTCCGTTGTGTCTTTGGAAAAGTTCATTTAATTGTATGTATATGTATGCAGCAAAGTTTTTTGAAATATATTTCTTATATTATGTACATATGTATTGCTATGTTGCGAAGGTATAGTAAATTTGACGTATGTTAAAAGGGACTTGCACAACTTTCATAAAATGTGTTATTTGTTGTGTGCTTTCAATTAGGGTTTGTGTTTGGCAGTGAAACTGGTAGATTGACTTATGAAACAAAATACGCAACGTTAAATATAGAAAATCTTAAAATTTGAAATTTTTAACATCAGTCATCTAAAATCCAACATATTTTTAAGATTTGTCATTTAATTTCGCCGATGAAAACGGATTATTTATACATTTTTATAAAAGTTTTAAAACAGTTGCGTAAAATTATTTTTTTAGACACTACCACAAGCAAATATGTATATGTATGTATACACATGTACCCGATAATTTATCGTTTACTTCTACACAGCATATGGATCGAAATCATTGAAATACTGCTCCACACTAAACCCGGACCATGTTACTAGTTAATTAAAAAAAGCCTTCCTCCTTTCTTTGTAATTAGGCTACATATTTTCAACTGCGTTCACCAACTGACTTTCATAAAAAAAATTAAAAGCTTCTGTGCAGCTTAACAGCTAACCTAACATAGGAATACTTTTCACTGATTTTTTTTTTCGTCTCATAAACATACATATTTACATGATCGTCGTTTGTGCAAGTATGTTTGCTATTATTGATTCAAGTGTAAACTTGTTTTATGTTTGTATGGATGAATGCGGCGCATTTTATGTTTCTTTTTTATATGGTCAAAATTTGTTTATATGAATATGTAACTGGCTAGATTTGGCTGTTGCAATTCAATGTTTTCGTTAGATAATTAAGTTAAATTAAAATTATATTTGATTAATTAATTATATAACGTTAATGCGTGAACTTCAATATTTTGAAGATAATTGGAAATTGTTTCTCATTAGTGAAGGTTGTCTTTTGTTCGTTAAAAAAATTAAATAAATTTAATTATAATGTTGTGGCAAGGGTAGAAGTAAAATGTAATTGCAGCGTTACTTTCAACGATATTTGCGTATGATTCATGCAAATATCATCTCTGTAAATCTGCAGAATTTTACTCCTATCTCTTATTTGATTTAATACAATCATGATCTTCCACCGTAATGAGCTGTACCTGAGAAATCTATTCTAAAGTTAGTATAATTCATTTTTTGAAAAAAAAAACAGTTAAAATAAACTGTTGAAAAAATATATAAAATAGGATAATAATATATGTACTTCAATCGATGCAACGCGATATTTCTTTTCCATTACAATTTTATGCATCTAATAACTTAAAAACGAATTGAGTTGCATAGAAGATAATTTGCGAAATATCTCTATCTCTTTTGAAGTATTTTTTATGATTAAATCGAAAGTGTGTTATAAAAAAGTTTTATAGGGTCACATATTTGCGTACGAAACTCAGCTAATTTTTTTTATTTAATTTCATTTCATTTGATGCAGTTTTAAAAAGTTCAGCGTTTAAATTGTTGTTTCATAGTTACTGACTACTTTCTTTTAGTTGCTCGCTTGGTTTTGTAGTGTTTTTTTTTTTTAGAAACCGGAACTAGGAATTTCGTAGTTATAAAATAATAGAGAATTCAAAAAATGCACTTTGCAGAATTTAGGTACATTTTCAAATGCTTAAAATAATATTTATTACCGCTACACCACAGAGCGGTGCGTTGAAGCCAATTCATTTTTCTTTTTTCTCTAACATTCTTATACCAAAACAAAAAAATCATATGCGTTAAAATAATTCATATTTTAAAATTTATGTGAAATTAAATTTTACGGTTTGTATGTAAGATAATTATTCACTTCTTAAGTCATATGTAATTATTGAAGATTAGATAATTTTGTGGGGTAGCCGTTTACACCTGAAGGCTGCCCACGGTGCTGCTGCGTTTATAACGACTACTCCAATAATTTATTGTAAGAATAATGTTAATGTAATGTTTCTTAAAGCCGATTTAAGATTAATTTGAAAAATAAAAGTATGTTTCACCGGGAATACTTAGGTTATTTTTTTCACAAATACTCGTATATATGCATGTAAGTGATTACATACATATGTCAATGTATTATTTCGCTACACATTTTCTACCGTTTTCAATTGTTTCGTTCTTTGCAATGTGTGTTATTTTTTTTTTTTTTTATTTTTAACTCTCGTTTAAGTGCCTTTTGGCTCATACCGGCTTTATATATTTAATGTATACCTTTGAACAGTTACCGTTTATCGATTATTATTATTTATGAATGTTTTTTTTTATGTAGTATCAATAAGTAAATATTTGTAAGTAAGTCGATAAAATTGAAGAAATGTATGTATATGTTATATGCTTGCTAAGCGCACTGCTATTTTTCATACGTCTGATGCACTTACGCTCTTTGCTGCTGTTGCTGTTGTTGTTGCTGCTGCTGTTGTTGTTGCAAAACGTCAGCAGTGGTGGCTGGTGCCACACCCGCAGCAAACTGGTGCGGGTGTGCGTAGTATGCTGCTGGTGCCAAACCGCCATATGGATTGGCAGCGGCGGCGGCAGCAGCAGCAGCCAAAACACCACTAGCATCATACATATAAGCAGCCGCAGTATTGGCAGCTGCAGTAGGAGGCGATTGTGCTGGTGCAGCATATAAAGCTGCAGCCGGTGGTGTCGACACATTGCTAGGATACTCACCGCCCAATTGACCACCGGCAGCAGCCACTGCAGCTGCAATATTTGCAGCAACATTTACTTGCTGTTGGTGTTGCTGCTGTTGCTGTTGTTGTATTGTTGTACCGTTGATAACACCGTTATGCGGTTGATGCTCTACACCACCACCAGCGCCGCCATTAGCCACTATATTTTGCTGTTTATCGTAGTGTTGTTGTTGATTATATTCTCGTTTTTGATATTGCTGAAAACGTGGTACATTACCATTCTGCTGTGGAATGAATTGTTGACTACGTGGTCGATACTGCTGTTGTGGTACGTAACCATTATTTTGTTGCATATGTGGCGGTATGTAGCCTATCATAGGGCGTGGACCGCCGGCATTAAAGGGAGCACGTGGGCGATATGTGCGACCGCCACTGGCATCGGGATTGTTGTATTGGCCACCAGCTCCGCCACCAACCACACCGGATCGATTGTTCCAGTTGCCACCAGCACCACCACTGCTAACACCGTTATGTGGCTGATACATACTGTTGTTTTGTTGCTGATAGTGATTCTGTTTCGGAGCGTACGCGCCGTTAGCGTTGTTGCCAGCTTGATAATTCAAGGGATTGCTACGCTGTTGATGGGTAGGCTGCTGTTGCCAGCGACGATTATTATTTCCGCGGCCATTACCATTACCACCTGATGAGCGTGCCAAATCCAACAATTCTTGAGGTGGTACCTGACCGGCCTCCTCCAATACAGAAATCAAATCACGTGCCTGCTTTCCATTGTCCGGGGTAAAGAAAGTATATGCGGTTCCCAATTGCTGGCAACGTCCAGTGCGTCCAATGCGATGAACATAATTTTCCGACGAATTTGGGTAATCATAATTGATAACATACTGCAAATCCTCCACATCTAGACCACGAGAAGCGACATCAGTGGCAATCAAAATATTCGACTTTCCATTGCGGAAATCTTTTAGCACTGAATCGCGTTCAGGTTGCGACTTGTCGCCATGTATGGAGGTGGCAGTATAACCTTCGTTGCGAATAATTTGCAAGATTTCCTCGACCTAGAAATGTATTGAAATATTATTGATAGTATATTACTTTATCCATTAAGTAATGTTATTATATTCAGATAATAAAAACTTTCAATTTAACAAAAATAACTTTGCAGTTTTTAGAATGTTAATTTGATTTTAACTTGTTATTTTTCCTGATGTAAACATAATAAAAAACTTTTATTCCAACACTTACCTTGATTTTAGTTTCGACAAAAATAATTATTTTGTTATTATTATTTGCAGCGTTGTTGGTTGTCGGTGCAATTTCTTGTAGTAATTTAACAATGCGCTGAGGTTTCTCCATTTCTTGACATATTTCAACCATTTGACGAATATTGTGATTAGCCGAAAGATTCATTGAACCAATATTGATAGAAATGTAATCTTTTAGGAAATCTCCGGCAAGTGCCTGTACTTCTTTAGGCCAAGTTGCAGACCACATTACTACTTGTCGATCAGGACGAATTTGTTCTATTATTTTACGGATTTGTGGTTCGAAACCCATATCCAGCATACGATCGGCTTCATCCAATACCAAATAGGTGCATCGTTGCAAATTTGTGTTACGATTTTCCAAGAAATCTATCAGTCGTCCCGGAGTTGCAATAATGACTTCAACACCTCTTTCTAAATCACGTGCTTGAGGTACTTTTGATGAGCCTCCAAAAATACAGGTATGACGGATCTCGGGTTTAGACAAGTGTCCGTAGTCACGTACAACGGATTGAATTTGTTGAGCTAATTCACGTGTAGGTGCTAATACGAGAGCTATAGGTCCGTCGCCACGTTGTAGTGGTGGTTGGTTCGCAATGTGGACCATTGCTGGCAACATGTATGCCAAAGTTTTACCGGAGCCCGTTTGCGCGATGCCAACCAGGTCACGGCCACTAAGCGCAATCGGCCATCCTTGTGCTTGAATAGCAGTAGGCTTTGTGAAGCCTTGACGCTTCATTTCTTCTATAGTGTATTCTGGTAGCGAACACTCTTCAAACGATGACACTGGATGTGGAATACCATTACCGGATACAGTAATTTCTAATTCATTTCGCAATTCGACGACTTGTTGTTCACTCATATTTAGAGTGTTTTGATGTGGTACATAGAAATTTTTCTTGAAAGGTTGTAGGTTTTCCCAACGTGGAATTTGTAAATTACGTCCAGGATTTTTTGCCTTTTCACGCTGTAATTCAGCTCTCTCTTCTTTGCTCAATAATCCCAGATTAATACCGCCATGATATCCGCCATTGTTTGGTTGGTAACCACCGTTGGGTTTCTGATGACGGGGTACGAAATTTGGATTTTTACCACGAGCTTGGAAACCACCAGGATTACTAACGCCGTTCCCATAAAAGCTAGGACCCCCACTTGTCATCATTGAATTAGAATTGTTACCGCCACGGTAGGTGCTTTGGGCACCTCCATATAAACCCGATCCGCCGCCATAGGGCATACCGGCGTTGCTGCCGTTATTCATGGTGTTACGCTGATAATGTGGACGTTCAGGACGTGGGCCAGCGCCTGCCCCACCACCACCATAAAAACCATTCGAGTTGGCATGTGGGCTGCCGCCATTCACTGCATAACCACCTGCGTACATTTTATTTACTTTTCTGGCAAAGTTTCGTCGAAAAGTGGGTTTATATTTTGTGTCCTTTTTTCTTTAACTAATTGACTTCTATTCTTCTAGAATAAAAGTCGTATTTTCCACGTTGCTTCTATTATTTGAAAGAAACGAACGAAACGAAACATGAGAATTAGAATTTTTTAGTATATACATTTAGTGACGTTCAAGTGACACTTCAACAAAGGTAGGCATGGTTACTTGTGTCAGTTTTCAATTTGAAGCATGGATAAAAATAAAAACGTTTTTATATTTTTTGATATGTATATTTTTCATTATGTAAATAAAGCATTGTATGGCTTAGTTCTTTTTACTAGTCTTGTTGCAGTGGAGTCGTAAAGAAAACCACATGGTTACCGTTCGTAAGATGACAAGGGGGTCGACTTTAAGTACACATATGTTTATCTAACTACAACTATGGTACATGCATACAATTTTTCTATAGGTATCAACTTCGTAAAGGTACGCTTGCCATCGTTGAGAAAATCAATAGTGCTTCGTTTTTCGTGGCAAAAGGGAGAAAGCTCTTATTTAATAAAAACAATAAGTAGGATGCGATTTTAGTCCTACTTATATAAAAGTAATTTGAATGATTGACTTACCTAACTTTATAGTTGACCACTATTTCACTGAAATAGTTCAATTTATATTTTCCGCTTCGATGCGAAGTTCTTTATTATAGTTCTATTGCAATAAAACTATTCCAATTTTTTCGCAATCAATTAAAGCAGATGTAAAACTTATTCTGCTTTAGTTTTTGGTCTGGCCGGATACCGCTACGGTCCTTACAGCAATCAATGGTTATATGTTTCCTTTGAATACTTGAGAAGCCCGAAGAAAATTAAGTTTCCACTAATTTTCCCCTTCACTTTGCTGCTTTATTCGTCTATTGCGTATTTCACTTATTGTTACGAAAAAAGTAAATATTTTACGTTTTTCGAAGCATTAGTTAAATGTTCTGTTATACAATAAAAGTAAAATACTATTATTTTATTGTATTTTATTTTAACTAATTTAAATGTGCAGGAATAAGCGAAAACGACGTGATGGCAATTGAACGAGCAATTACCAAACTGTGACAAACGAATGAAGAAAGCCCGAACGAAGTAGCGAATGTGATGGCGGCTGTGCGGGAAATTTATTTGATGCAGCTTGCAAATGGCGTCTGCAAACGGGGTGATTCAAGTGAAATGACAATTTTTTTTATAAAAATTTTTACTCTGATTATTGAATAATATAAAAAATTTGTCAAAGAACTTGAAATTTATATATGCACAAATGTGCTTTATTTTCAAAAAAAAAAAAAAAAAAAAAATAATAATAATAATAATACTTCTTCGGATTTTTATTATGTGCAGAATGGATTGAATCATTAAAGTAAAACTCTTAACGTCAAAGAATTCTGAAGAGTTTAAACAAAAGAAAAAAATTAAATTAATTATAAACCCGAACTTTTAAGTTCAACATCTTTTATACTCAGATGATTCAAATTGTTTAAGAGATTACCTTATAGTCTCCACAGACGGCAGTGTTAATCCGGACGAAATGCTTTAATCCGGATAAATTTAGGAGTTAGTGAAGTTAACTCCGTTGCTAGCTCCTAATTAATCCTTAAAAGTTTATAGCATTGACAGATGGCAGCATTAATCTATCATTTTAATCTATTGTGAATGAAAAGCAGGCAACACGGACAGCTGTTTTTTAAATTTTCAATACACAAAACAAGAATAGATGTGGCCATAGTGATGTAGAGTTGAGAATAATCAGTGTAAGTATTTCATATTTTTAAAGCGCATCAAATTTATATTTTTACACATTTCAGATGGCTATGAGGAAGAGACGCTCCGGATGGACACTCCAGGACGAGACTGAGCTGCTGGAGAAGTGGGAGTCGCGTTCTTACGATCTCCGAAAAGCCAAAAGAAATGCGCATATATATCAAGAAATTTCAATTGAAATGGAAAGAAGGTACACTGCGGAGGAGATTCACTGCAAAGTGAAAAATTTAACAAAAAAATATAGGTGAGTTTTTACAATAACTACAAGTATATTTCTATGTTTATATCCAAAAATGTTTTCAGAGATGAGAAAAGTAAAATTGACCCATTCGGCGGTAGTCCCTCTGTATGGAAACATTACCACGCAATAGACCGCATCATGGGGTCCACTGCCATCAATTCAGCATTCTTTGTGAAAACTGATTCTTTGGTAAGGAATATAATTTATTTCTTTTATCTATAAATACATTTAATAGGTTATTTTGTTTAGAATTCACCATCACCAACATCTTCGAACTTTTCAGATGTCTATCAGAAAGCAACGCTCCGAATGGACACTCTCGGACGAGATTGAGCTGCTGGAGAAGTGGGAGGCGCGTTCCCACGATCTCCGAAAAGCCAAAAGAAATGCGCATATATATCGAGAAATTTCAAAGGAAATGGGAAGAAGGTTCACTGCGGAGGAGGTTCATTGCAAAGTGAAAAATTTAACAAAGAAATATAGGTGAGTTTTTACAATAACTACAAGTATATTTCTATGTATATATCCAAAAATGTTTTCAGAGAAGAGAAAAGTAAAAGTGACCCTTCTGGCGGTAATCCCTCTGTATGGAAACATTATAAGGCAGTACACCGCATAATAGAGTCCACTGCCGTCAATTCGGCATTGTATATTAAGACTGATTCTTTGGTAAGAAAAACAATTTATTTTATTTATCTAGAAATAAAATTAAAAATTAATTTTGTTTAGAATTCACCATCACCAACATCTTCGATGCCATCGCCGTCCTCTCCGCTTCCGTCTCCCCAGCTGCCATCGCCATCATTTCAGCTGTCATCGTCATCACCTTCGATGCGGTCACCGTCACCATCATCGGCACCAACTGCAAGAAAGCGGAATTATAATGGTGAGATGGTGAAATTAATAAAGCAGCAAACACAAGTACTAAAAACAATTGCAAAGGAATCAAAACTTGTCAATCAGGAGATGGTAGGGGCGATTCTGGAGCAGAACCGAATAACGGAAAAGCTGTTGATACTAATGGAAAAGATAACGGAAAAACTTGTATAAAAAGTTTTTCTAATCTAAAATTGATTATAATTAAAAGTAATTATGTTTGTAATTAAGTATGCTAATAATTTAGATAATAAGGAAATGGTATAAATAAGTATGTAAGTATTAAGGGCATCTATACTCACTGCTTTTCTAATAGCCAATGCTGATATATCATTTTCCCCAGCTCATATAGTGTGACGTAGTTGATTTTCTGTATTTTTTCTGCTGCAACTTGGATCCATGAAGATTTTTTAAATGGCAACAAGTTATCGAATGAAATAGACTATATTTGTCCTAAATTTGATATTCTAATTGCCGATCAAAACACAAAATAACCCAAAAACATAATTATGGTGTGTTATGACACCATTTACGGGCAACTATAAAAGATAAACACTTCATGTACAGTATTAGTAGGTCTGTACTTGTATTAACTCAAATCAACGTAACATCTTATCATGTATGAATTTACTTACAATATACTTCGTTGTACCGAGTATAATTTGGTACATTTATTAACATTAAATGAATAATATTTAGTAAATTAAGTTTGTGTTTCATTTGTCGGTGATGGTTCTTTCAACTTGATTTTGCTTTCAAATTTTTCAAATTCTTTTTCTGCGAATTTATCTACTTTATCAGAAACTTGCTCAACAGACACTACCTCGGGTATGTAGAATTGCAACATATTTTGCACGCCATTTTTAAGTGTAACAATAGAGCTAGGACAGGAAGAACATGATCCCTGCATCTTTAACTTAACTACACCATCTTCATAACCCATATATATAATATCTCCACCATCTTCTTGTACAGTGGGTCTGATACGACTGTCAAGAAGTTCTTTAATCATCATAACCACATCGTCATCGTCATCTTCGATTTGTGTATCTGAATTGGGTTTAGCTTCGTTCAGTATTGGTAAACCGCTGGCAAAAAAGTCCATTATTACAGCAAAAACTTCTGGCTTAATAATGGCCCAATCCGTTTCTTCTTCTTTAGATATTGTTATGAAATCGGCACCGAAGAACACAGCACGCACCCCGTCGATACGAAAGAGAAGCTTCGCTATTAAGTAGAGAAAGTTTATGTTGTTAACATGCTTATACAAAAAATAAAACAATTACCTAAGGGGCTACAATACGCCGCAGATACACTGGGAAAATCGTATGTGTTACCTTTTCCCAGAACGTCTGTGCCGGGAAGAAATTTTAGACTGTCAGGGTTAGGTGTGTCTTGTGTCTGTATAAACATATTACGACAGAATTGATAAAGTGGAACCGAGGACTTATTATTCAACAGCGCCCTTTTTGTAGGAATCGCTCCATAATGTTCAAACGATCTCAAATTTTGCGATTGATGTAAGCAACTGGCAATTTATTAAAATTAATATAGTTTCTAAGCATTGTTACTTTTTGTTTTACTCACATGTTAAATAAACGATTGTTACTGCGTAAAACCCCAACTGACCTACGCAAGGAAGGCAAAATTAAACGAGACATTTTCAAATTATTATTACGGGCTTCCAATAGCTATTATATCAACCGCAATAGAATCAAATATTACGATCAGCTGCTAATGTTATGATTGAAACTATTGCGTATAATAACAGAGTTGCCACCGCTTATTTATCGGTGCAAACAAATAAATGCCGGTGGCGTCGTAGATTATAAAATGAGAAGAGATATCAAAGTAAACGTTCAAAAGACCAGTAAATTGTAAACATAGCGTCGAAAATTAATATAGGTACCATGGACAACCATCTGTCAGTAAAATGCTGGTACACTTTACCGACAGAAAGAGTTTTGTCCTCATCTGAGCATGTACTTACATGGCTCATCACGTTTACACAGTTTTACGTGTTCACGTGCAAGTTTTGTGAACAGTTTTCCCTAAGTATTCACAATAATGAAACTTGGTGCAAACAGTTCTATCGATTAAAAATAAAAATAACCACACATTGTGAGCGCCCCTAAATAAATAAACGTAGTGTTTAAATTATGGATATATTGTTAACAATATTTGCGGCGCAAAGGATAAGCCTGTTGTCCTCTACGGCCCTAGATGATATCCAGCTTGGTGTGTAAATATTGCTGATCTCAAGTCTACTTTGTCCTGATATAAAAATCATTAGACTCACATGTACGCCTTATCCATTTCCGTGCAATTCCTGTATTCTTATTTAAGCTATTCCGAGATTACCGGATGTTGGAGGTGGTTGTACGATACCACTGGGAATAGGCAGGCAGTATTCCGGAGGAGTTGGTGCACTGCCTGTTGAACAATTGTTGAACTGCTGTTTTAGGGCTTACATACATACATAAGTATGTACATACGTACAGTAAAATGGAAATGTAATTATTGGAAGTTTACACGTTTTGAGTCAATATTGGGTATGTCAACATTGAATTGGAAAACATTTTAAGAATACAGTTGTACGTATTTATATATATGTATGTTAATTACAATATTGTTGGATTGGTTAAGAAAATTGTTCTGTTAAAAAAAGAAAACAATTTAAATAATAATTATAATAAATAAGAATTACATACAAAAATAGCAACCTTTCCTAGGCGACCAGATCTACCTCGCCGGAAAATTCAATGTTCTTATTCGCGTATATGCATATATACATACACTCAATTGTACACTCAATTTAAAATTTTATTACGTTTACTGCGTTAACGGTTCTTCACATAAGTATCAAAGTAATATTATATTTATGTATGTATCCAAGATTAAGTACATATATGTATGCTTAAATAAATATGGAAGTTCATATTTTTAACAAAGAATAAAAAGCATTAACTTCGGTTGCATCGAAACTATTCCGACAAATGAGAAAATTCCTGTGCAAAATTGCAAGTCTATATCTCAAAAACCAGGTATATTATGGTATATATGTACATATTTTAAAGGCCTTTGACATTTCCATGGTGGTGTTGCAAACTTCGTGACAAACTTAATATATATAGTTCAGAGTATAAATATCTCTTTTACAAAACCAGCTTTACAAATAATGGTTACGAATTTCAAAAACTAATTCAAGGGCCGGAAGTATAATCTAAATTATCAAAAACAATTGTTATGTATTTGAAGGCTACATTGTATATATATAAAGCAGTACAATTTGTTGAAGATCCTACATTAGTTTAACTTTTCTGTAAGTTAATATGATATACCTTTGAGAGTTCGAAAATGACACTGTTGTATTGGAATATACGATTCGTGTTCGTGTTGTCGGTAGTGATTTACTTTGTTAGCGTTTGTAATGCTCAACCATCGACTTCGCTGACTATTCCAACGAGTCCAACTTCACCCACTTCGACAAGTAGTCTAAGTTGGCCCACTTCAACTACTTTCCCCACATCACCCACTTCAGCTACAGCAACAACTACTTCTACTACTCCGAGTTCAACATCCAGTAATACCACACAAGCACCCTCATCATCAGGTAATCTCACACCAGCTCAAAAAAGGATAGAGGCCCGCCGGAGAAGAATTAGACGAGAATGGATGAAGCGGAAAAGAGCTGAACTTAGAAGAAAAAGAAAACGCAGCTGGAAAAGACAAGTTCGACGTCCTGAGAATATACACCAAAAGGGAGGTCGGAGAAGGCGACAAAATCAGTCTAACCGTTTTTAGATAATAGATTTTTTGAAATGATTAATATTATTCGAGTTTTTAATAAATTCCTAAATAAAAGCTTATTGCTTTAACCATTTAAGCCTGCTAGCTTCCACCTGTGTGGGAACTCTTTTAGCGAGAAGCTTCTCTCGGAAAGACTAAGCACGGGATTTGCGTCAGCGTTTAGCGAAAGGGCTAAACTCGCGCATTTCACTGAACTTAGCGTACGCGATCGCAGTAAGGACGTTGGAGCCATCAGCCGAGAAGAGTGGAAAAGGGTAGCTGTGACAATTTCCGTGGTTTTCATGAAGGTGATGAGAGTATATCAAGGGCCACCTCCAATGTGTGAAAGTGCCGGGCGTCAATGGCTTCACATGATGTTGTTGTTGTTGTTGTAACGGCAGAATTCTGCCGAGTTGACAGTCCTTGGGCGGATAAAAATCCGGGTCCGTTCCGGTTTTCGTAGGCCCGATTGCCATGGGAACGGTGGCTTCACATGATCATAAGGTGGGCTGATGAACGATGGACAGCTCTATATAAAGAGGCAGTGTGTCCTGTGGAATAGGTGTGGAAGTGCTTCAGTTTGAAAGCCGTGAAGAAGGTGCAACCGTCACTGCAACTTGGGAGATAATAAGGCATTCTAATATATTGAGTTCAGTTTTAGGCTTCCTGACCTTCTTCAATGGGGTTGCTATCCCCTCCGTTAGCTGATGCACTCAAGAATAATGTTTAGTCAAATAACTTAACTTTACTAACAACAAGCATCGGTTGTATTGGTTCAATACAAGCCGTTACTTTTGAAATTATATAATTCTTGAAGATTCATTTTAAGTCAATCAGACAAAAAAAATTTATTAAAACAAAATATGTTTAAAAAGTTATACTTATTTTTATATATCTGACTGTAGTATTAACCGAATCATTCTTTGAAACCATATCATGATAAGTACTATTGGCTGTGAAGACAACATATGTAAAGAGATTTTCCTTGCCATATTTGACTTTTTCACATGTGTATATAATTACAATAAAATAATCAAAAAAAGATAACTTTTAAACATTGTGGCAACATTCTGAGAAAATTACATTTTGATTTGACAGATGACGACGTAAAATAATAGACAAAAATTTTGCAAAAAAAAAAAAAAAAACAACACACGGAATATCAAAATTTTAAAGAAATTTAATTGAAGAAGGAAAATTATATTTGCTGCTTTTGTTAACATAAAATTTTGTCTAAACAACGCATAGTCATCAAAATTACAATAAACTTCAACGTGATTATCTACATATAAGTGGGAGCATCACATTTCTGAAACTTCGCTTGTATTTAAACAGTCAAGTGAGTGTAATATTAAAAATAATATTAAGTCCCATTTTTAACAAATAGTTTTTTGAGAAAGTCAGCTGAAAGAAAAAACGATGGTGAAACTATTTGCACTGAGTATTTTTTACAAAGGTTCTGCGGAAGCTCGTCTATTAAAATCTACTTACGATTTACAGTCATTTTCATTCTTTCAACGGGGCACAGTTCAAGAGTTCATGACGTATGTATTTGTTAATTTTTATATTTTATTTACGCCAACCAGTTTCTACATAAAGGCTTTACTTTCAGTTTTGCATCAAAAACCATTGTGGAGCGTACACAACCTGCCATGCGACAGTCAGTTAAGCAAGAGGCCTATATGTGTCATGTGTACGTACGAGCAGACAATTTGTCTAGCGTATTAATTGCTGATCATGAGTATCCGCAGCGTGTTGCTCATACGCTCATAACAAAAATCTTAGATGAGTTTAGTGCGAAAATTATTGCGGACCGTTGGGAAACGGGGTCGGATGGAACTATTGATTTCAATACTTTGCCTGCATATTTGGCCAAATATCAGGATCCAAAAGAGGCAGATGCGTTGACTAAAATGCAAAACGATTTAGATGAAACTAAGATTATACTAAAGAATACAATTGAAGCAGTGCTTGAGCGTGGCGAAAAGCTAGATGACATGGTAATTAAATCAGAAAACCTTTCAATGCAAAGTAAAGCATTTTACAAGACAGCCAAAAAGACAAATTCATGTTGCAATTTTAGTTAAATGATTTAGATGAGCTGAAATACATACAAATACGAATTTTCGCGGGTGTAAAAATGATTATTTTTTTTTTTATTAATATTTGAAAACGTATGTATACTTGCTTTTTTTTATTTAAACTGTAAATGCTCCGAGCGCTGCTTTTTTGTTGAAACCATAACAATAATAGAATTTGTTAAGGAGAAATTAGTTGAAGAGAGACACAAAGTAAAGCGAAATTATGTGAGCGAATGATAAGAGAAAAGAGTTTACAAGTAAAAGCAATTCACAAATTAATCCCATTCCAAATTATTGAGTTTTTTTTTTATCAATTTATTATTTTGTTATGAAAAATGCGAAGAAAGAAGTTGGAGAAATGCAAACACTCATATATCGAGTGACACTAAAAATGTTGAGTATATTGTCCAAATATTATTTGTTCATATACATATGTATTTATATTGCATGTTTCTTTATAAGATAATTGATGAGATTTTAGGTAACAACATATATCTATAAAAATTTAAACAAATGTTAGTATGTATATACTTTTGGTTAAATAAAATAGGCGAAGTCAAGTTGAACCACCTGCACTGCAAACACATGCGTTTTCACAAAAGGCTTAAAAATTCCGGAAAGTATTTTATGAAATAAACAAAAATAATGATGCAGAGAAGTTTAGGGAAGATGACCTAGTTGATTTTTACGCACCGGTAATACACTATGTACAAAATTGAGCTGAGTTCGCCTTGAACATTATGTAGAACATCTCACATAGAAGACAAAATGCAGAAAAACTGAACTGCCTACTTTTGCATTCATACTTTATACACATGTAATAATTATAAAAAAGTTTTGTACTTGAATATATTTTTATTGAAACAGTATTGCACATTTTTAGAAAAAAAATATTTGTTTACAGATTTATATAATATGAAAGAATAGCAAGGAATAGCAATTAAAAAAGGAACGAAATGAATTCTATCGAATAAATAAATATAAAACTATTGGAAAGTGTGATTGAAGAGAGTATGTTATGCGGGTTAGCTAAAATTTACATTTTCAATAAAATTATAGTTTTTTGGTTTCTACTATACGTGTTAAAAGAAGAAAACTAATTGCAATTATATGTACATATGTTTAATTTTATCTAAAAACCATTCCTCATCCTTAAAATGTATCTTTGTAATTTTACATGAAATACTGTTACAGACATTTATTTTTGCTTTTATGCCTTAAAAAATATACTAGCATATGTATACCTTTAGTTACGAAGATATTTTAGTCACGGATTTGCTATTTACAAATTCATATATTTGAAAACATAAATTCTCACATATGTATATACATGTATGTATGTATGTATATATACACATATGTATTGTGTAGCTATATTCTACGCATAAACGAATAACCCAACCGATAAAAATTAATAATGTAAAATTATTACTATTGTGGCTTGAACTTATTGTAGCAAGTATCGGATATTCAAAATATGCAAATACTCGTGTTCCTCTAAATGTTACTTGTGAAAATGAAAAAATAACTTAATTAAAAATATATTACAATTAGAAATCACTACTATGTTTTATGGCATAAAGTAAACAAAATTAGGTATACAATAAATTAAATTAAAATTTATATATGCTACTTAAGTGCATAAATATAAGAATAGAAATAGAAAAATGTAGCCGAATTATTTTAATTATTTTAATTTTTTTTATTTCTTTTTTCTTTTTTAATTATGTTTTTTCACATTATAGTTAAAATTTTTGTTTATTAAATTTTATCTTAATAATATTATATACATATCACATATAATACATCCCTAATATAATCCATAAATCAAGTTTTAAAAAAAATACATCTTCTTAAGGGGGAAGAGGGTTTGCTTTTTTATTTTTTTCCGAATTTCTTCCAATAAAATTACTAAATTTCGAATCAATTGCAGAAGAAACGATGTTACCAGTATTTTTATAATCAACTGTCTGGCTGGCGATTATCTATACATAATTTACGAGGTAACACTGGACATTTTTTTCTTCAAAGCGTAGCTACTTTTTTAACTGATTTTTTTTTTGCCAAAATTCGTTGTTTTTACTTAACATGTACCCAAAAATTGAAAAAAAAAAAAATTAATTTCGAAAAAGAAAACCAGCGTAAAGCGAGCATCCAACGATATAATTTTGATTTTGTTACTTCATTTGATTCAGCCCTGAGTTATGAGGGGCACCGCAATCCAACCTTTTTCTAAGCCACTCTAGAGTAATTGCTGCCATTACCTTATATTTTAATACACTCCTTAAAAATTTAGCAGAATATTTTTCAAATCATATTTATACTATAATGTACCACCGGCTTTTAAAAATGGTTTTTGACTGTTTTCCCACTATTTAAAAAATTGCTACAAATGCCCCAAAGCAAAACAAAAAAGTGTTTCAATTCCACTTCGTTGTAAAAACTCTACAAATGTTCATTTTGACGTTCCCTACAGTAGTTTCAGCTGTTTATGTGGATACTGCCCCAACTACACACATACAGTTGTACAAATGTATGTACTTTGGTGCGCAGTAACAAACAAGTATTGACAGTAGTAATTTGGCTTTGCTATATTGTTGACATATTTTGATTTTGTGTAAATATTTACATACAAATGCAGTTTAAATACAAGATAGTAATATAAAGTCAAATGTAAAAAAAAATATTAATAAACAATTTAATTGTTAATATGATTTGTTGAAGGAATTTGTATTCTAGTAAATAGCTGAAATAGATAAGCTGAATAGATAATTGCAAGTTTCGGTGCCTTGTAATATCAATCAAACATTAGTGAGTTTTTATTGACCTCAATATTAGTGAGATTGTGTAGGTGGTTTTCAGATATGTTTTGCAAAATGTTTATGTAAATTAATACAGTGTGCGTAAAAAAAACCGGTTTGTTACATAAATATGTTCATTGAAAAAAATTCAAAATTTGAAAATAATAAGAGACAAGTGAAGTGAGACATGGAGGAAATTCACCAGACTATGAACGTAACTGGCACGTACTGAACCCATTTCACAGTAGAGCTATTAGCACCTTCATCGATCCCCTCTCAGTATACTACTACCGATTGCGGGGGAAGAGCTCGAGTTGCCCCTTGAGTCAAGAGATACTCATGTGCAACTTCGTTCTGTATACTGTAGCAGGTTAAGTTCTTATTTATCCAGAATCAACATTTAAACGTCAAATACTTATATCTCCAGCATGAAATGAGTTCCAGATTGACTCTAACAACCTTGTTGGTTTCCCTATGAAACTTACTCATACATAAACCAGTTCCCTACGATCCGACCCGTCGAAACAGCATGTTAGTTGATCTTGAGGACAATTAACTTACGTCAACACCGCTACAATCATAAGGAATAGACGATTTGACATTTTTCGCAATGATGTTCCATCAATTGAAATTTTGGTAATCGCGACAGTGTGCGTAGGTATCATGAATTGGCCTCATAAATAGCATAAACTGGTCCCCCTTTCTAAGAGTCCATACAGTTCACCGCTCCGAAATTGATTCAATTTGGTAATCTCATTTCGTCAGAACTCCCTGACCTAAAAATGCACTGGAACAAAAAATTTAAAGAAGAAAATATGTATCTCTCGAAAAACCTCAATTTTCTATGGAGCATATTTAAAAATTCCGAAATATAACCGACTGGTCCAAATCGTTCAAAATTGCTAGTTTTTCGAAGATAAATTGAGATTCGATTTATTCATATAATAGTAGTTTGAAATCTTTTTTTTAAACCATTTTGTGGTATAGAAATTAAGTTAACGATAAGTTGAAGTTAAAGGTTTTTCTTGTTTTATGGTGTAGTTTGCTCATATATTATACTTAGATGACTAGAAGAAATCATGTCTCAATTTGTCGAATATACTGAGCCAGTTTGGCGGGGCTTGAATATGCGAGACCTGAAGGTTGACGAAGCATATCTAGTGGTCAAATCGCTCTACAATCAATCGGCTTACCTTTACAGTCGATCAGAAGAATGTTACACAGTAAGTAAAAACGGGTGATGCATTTAGAGGTACTATTTTCAATAGACTTTGTTGTTTGGCAAAAATATAGCTGAGAGTGTACACGAAGACCGGGGAGAATCGATTCGGCGCCGTTCGCAAGAACTAGGACTAACGTATGGAACGACTTGGCGTAATTTACGTTGAAATCTTAAATTGAAAGTAATCAAAATACAGTTTGTGCAAGAATTGAAGCCGTTCGATTTTCCCAAGCGACATCGCTTCGCTCTATGGGCATTTAAAAAAAGATTCGACGTTTTCGAGCCAAATTTTGTTCATAGGTGAAGCCAATTTCTGGCTCAATGGATATGTAAACAAGCAAAATACCCGCCAATGGCGCCTGTTATCGGACCATAATAATCGACTATTTGATGTCTCGCACATCAAATCGCATCACTTCGGTGGACACGTATTGGGCCGGTCGTTTGGCCAATAAAATCATGTGATATCACATCGTTAGACTTTTTCCTGTGGAAATATGTAAAGACTAAAGTCTATGCGGACAAACTCGCTTCGATTTAGGCCTCGGAGCAAAACATCACTCGTCTTATTCGCAAGTTACTAGTCGAAATGCTCAAACGAGTCATCGAAAATTGAACTCAACGGATGGCCCATCTGAGACGTAGCTGCGGTCAACATTTGAAAGAGATAATCTTCAAAAAATAATGCTAAATAATGTTCTCTCGAATGATAATAAACATTCTCCAATAAATTTGAAGTTTCAGTGTTTTTCTTTAAAAAAAGGGCACCTCGAAATGGATCACCCTTGATATACATTTGTACATTAAGCACTATATAAAGGCATATAAATAAATTCGAAATTGTTAACATTGTTTTTTTTTCACCCAGTGCCCATTTAGCTTTGTGAAATCAATGCACAACTTTACATTCAAATTAAATGTGGCGCGTGGCTGGGAATTTAAAGTGTATGACAAAGAAGTGGATGCGCTGACCGCTAATGAAGTGTAAATCTTTTATTTTTTTGAAAAAAAAGAGGAATCAAACCACTTTCTTTCTTCCCTCAGGCAATGCAATGACACGAACTGTAACAGTGTGTGCGATTTGTATGCGTCCGCGACAGATTTGCAAGAATTTGGAGTTTATAATTTTACATTGCATGCAAATGGTAGCTGTGAGGTGATAGCAGATAAAGCCGGCGTCAATGTGAATTTATGTATGTAATAGAAATTATTATGTTTTATAACATAAATGTATGTTGTATAAAAATAATCGTCGGCTTATTCCTTAGCGCTCGCTTCGGTATTTCTCCTAGTCACTTTGGTTTTGGTAGCGATACGAATGGCTTGCTGCGCTTGGCGTTCGTATACATTCAGCCCCGAGGCGGCCGCTGCTGCTGAAATCAATGCCGCGGTGACGCCTTCGCAGCCGAGTAAACGAATGCGTAGTTTGGATGCTTTTAGGGGGTAAAAGGCGTGAAGCAGTAAAATATAACTGTTATGTTATTAATTTTTTCGTTTGCGCCGTTTTAGCATGGCAATTGTGTTGATGATATTTGTAAATAGTGGCGGCGGTGACTACTGGTGGATCGAACATGCACCTTGGAATGGTCTACATTTGGCAGATGTTGTCTTTCCGTCATTCTTGTGGATTATGGGCGTTTGCATACCGATTTCGATTAAGTCGCAAGTGGTGCGTGGAACGCCGAAGGCGCGGATATGTCGACGTATCGTTTGGGTAAGATCTTACAGTAGTTTAATGATAATAACAGGTTTTTATAAGTATTAATTTTTTAGCGTTCATTTAAATTATTTGCTATTGGCGTATGTCTAAATTCCATAAATGGTCCAGAAATATCCAATTTACGTATAATGGGTGTTCTGCAACGGTTTGCTGTTGCATATCTAGTCTGTGGATTGGTTCATACCGTCTTCATTGAGAGGGAGTTTGTAATGCCGCAGGTTGGTAGTCTTACTATTTAATTTTTTTATGAACATATTTTATTTATTTTCTATTCATAAATTTAGATCGCTTGGAAGCGCGCTTTGTGCGACATTATTTTGTTGAAAACAGAATTTTTGGTAATGTTCTCGCTCATTGTCATTTATTTGGGTTTAATCTTCGAACTTCCGGTGCCAAATTGTCCGACGTGAGTTTGTGTGAATAATATACCATTATTTATAATCGTATATTTTTCTCAAATATTACATTTCATAAGCGGTTATCTGGGTCCTGGCGGCAAGCACGCGAACGCACAATACCCCAACTGTACAGGCGGCGCTAACGGTTATGTAGATCGTTTGATTTTAGGCGATGCGCACATCTATCAGCATCCCACCGCGAAATATATATACGGCGCACAGGCTTTCGATCCCGAAGGTGTTTTTGGTAAGGAAAAAATTGGTATAAAAAGAAGTTTACTTTTAAAAGATTTATATGTACTCCCACAGGCTGCCTTTTAACTGTGGTGCAGGCATTTTTAGGCGTGCTCGCCGGCGTTATTATACTGGTTCATACCGGTTGGAGCGCACGCATTAAACGCTGGCTGTATTGGTCGCTTGCTTTGGCTCTGCTGGGTGGCGCCCTTTGCTTTTTCACTGTGGAAGCTGGTCCCATACCAATTAATAAAAATCTTTGGTACGTATTGGCACAAAATTTTTAAACATACAAGAATAATATATTAAACGGGTTTTTCTATTGCAGGTCTCTTTCTTTTGTTTGTGTCACCTCTGCTTTGGCTTTCGTCATGCTCAGCATACTCTACTTTGTTATTGACGTGCGTCGCTGGTGGACGGGCTATCCGTTTGTGGAGTCTGGCATGAATGCAATTATTATGTATGTGGGTCATACCATTATGCACAAAATGTTGCCATGGCACTGGCGCCTTGGACCGATGAACACCCATTTCGTGCTTTTGCTTGAAGCCACTTGGAATACTTTACTTTGGGTGGCGATTGCACTATATTTAGATTCTATTAAGTTTTATTATAGTTTATAAGAAAGCAAAACTGAAGGATTTATCAAATATCAACTGTTACATATTATGAATATTTGAATATTTGTAAATATGTATGTAAATTTTTACTTTATATATATACTCTTACATAAACTCAAGCTTAAAATCGAATTGTGTAAATAAATAAATATACAAATTTTTATACAAATATATTTTTTGGACACTTTGTGATCTAGACGTTTGACATTCGAGGCGGTTACGAGGGTTTGAAAATCTCAATATATCTTACCACAAGGGGTACTTGAATGTATATGATATAATTTCTTAGATCCAAATTATGTCGTCCATATCTTGGGACCACCATTAACACCAACAACAATGTCAGCCTCGGAATCCATCGCATCATCAGGTGCTACATCAGATCGAGTAGGCATTTGAGAAGTAAAGTCCTCTCTCGACGAACAAAGACTAAACTCTACAAATCATCATCCCCGTCCTACTGATTAGTCGGCATTACGAGTTTTCAAGAGAAAGGTTTTGTTCTATTAGCAACGGCGAATACCGCAGTCGATGGAACGATAAGCTGTACGAGAAGGTACGCAGCAGGACGATGATCTCTACTCCTTTTAAAAGACCAGGCGGAGAAAAATCTGGTTAAACTTCGAATCTCCAAATGGCGGCCAACACTGAAAGCGATTACGGCAATAAAGAACACGAAATGTATTAAGGCTCTTTCTCGGAGGGATATGTCGTTGCTGTTGTGATAGCGATTATTTCCGATTATTAAAATCAGCGACCGAAGGTCCGGGAAAAGTCGGTTGAACCATATAGGAAAAACTCACCTTACTCTGGTTACATGGGACATTCAAGAGGTGATTGGTCCTATACGGGGTTTCAATGCATGTCGAACATAAATTTGGTATGTCAGAGTCGATTCTGGATAACTAGGAAATTAACGTGCTACGAGACAAGGAGGATGGGACGCCATTTTCCACTTTTCTGTAACGCTAATCGAAAAATGGATAAAGATTTGGTATGTGGGGGTCGATTACGGATAAGTAGTAGCTAAATCCGTTTCAGTATTAAGAACGTATGCATATTATCTTTTCCCATTGGTATATTTTCCTGTCACTGCACATGACTAAGTAGCCTTGCAGTTATTCTTGTGTAGCAATGAGTCCGAGGTGTTCTCTGTTCGCAAACTCTCAATCTGAGTTCGATCTCAAGTAATGACAATGCTGGTGAATTTTAACTGTTAGAGTTACTTCAAATAATGACTATCAGTGGTTTGAAAGTGTTTTAAGCAAATCTAGAACCGTTCATTCGATGGGAAACATCAATGTGTACAATGCAAAAAAGAATGATAAAAAGTTTGTACCACTAGAATTGTGGAATTTATTAAATTTAAAGCATATTTTGTTAATTTCAAACTTATGGGATGGATCCTGGTGCAAGCTTTCGCATTGTTCCTCTGCCTTTGCTAATTTTAATATCCTCTACGCTGTAAAGTGCCTATTGTGCAAACTGACTTTCAGTTCATTTATATTCATTGCTATCAAGCAGTTGATTTTCCATTTTTACTTCTTAATATAACTTACGAGTTAGAGTTAAAGGATTGCCATGTATGCTTAGCACACTACATCGAATTTGATAGTTTGAATGTGCTCGGCTATTTGTAAGTACTGTTGACTTCAGCCAATTTGTACGTGCAACTTTCACTTTCGCCATTTGCTTCTTTTGATTGATTTTATTCATGTTGCATAGCATAAGAATGGCTATGAGAAAATTTTTACTTGAAAAAAAAAAAATCATTTCGAAACAGTAAAATTTTTAAGCTTAATCTCCTGACTGGGGATTCCACGAAGTGCGCCAACTTTATTTCTTCTACTAGGAAAAAAGCCATTGACTTTCATCTACAGGATGGTAGACCCCCCTTTTGGTGACGACCGTAAATTCTACCTCCATAATTTTCAGATCGGCACCTCTAATTACTCGGCTAGTTAAAAAAAAATTTCCCAAAAATATTAAATCCAATAGCACGATGTTTTCCACTGAAGATCTGCCATCCAGCTAATATAAAATGTGCGGCATTCAATATGGATTGCGGCTTGCATGATTGATTACTTTGGTTGCCTGCAGCTTAGATAATCAGCTGCCAATACAACGTGACGGAAAATTTATATCACTCATCGTCTCAACGCCACGGTTTGGCGCAAAGTTTTTCCTTTGATTTTGGTTCCAAAGTTCGGACTTACTTCATCTTGCCTTCAGCAATTTTATTTGAAAGTACTGGTGTCTAGTAGCGAGTGACGAATGAGGAGTCTAGGTGACTCCATTCGAATGTGTTTGTACGAGCATGAGGTTTTGTCTGCCTCATCTTTTGGTGCACTGAAATCGCAAGGATATTCCAAGTGTGAAAATTACTTTTGCTATGAAAGTGAATTTGTTGTGCTGTTTGTGAAACCTGCCTTGAATATTTATGACAATGCGTCGTCGCCGACGGCAGTTTGTGTGGTGGATATATGTAGTTGTGGGATGGCAGTGTTTGACTGTCTTCGGTTTGTAGATAGGATTCTGTAATTCTTACAACATGCGTTTGGCATAAGTAAAATATTTTTAGAGTTTACCAAGAAACTACGTATATTAAAGATGTGCTTGCAATGGCAGTGAATGACTCTAATCTGGTACTTTTTTCATAAAAAAAAAAAAACTGCTTTTTAAATCTCAGCGCTTAAGCCTTTCATTTGTCTTAATATATTGGGAGATTTTTGCGAAAAATGCTTAACAGCGAAGAACGGACCCAATCAATATAGAAGATATGTTGAAATTTACGGATCCTGGCCGATGACAACATTTGACGAGTCGAAGAGACTCGAAAGAAAGGTTCTGCGAAAGATGTATGATCATTTGCCCATTGGCAACGACGAATACCACAGTCGATGGAACGAAAAGCTGTTCATGCAAATTATTTTCCGAACATTTGTCTATTATTGCTTTAATTGAACTTATTAAAATTTTATTTACCAAAGAACTCATTTGATTTGCACTTTCGAATGATTTTTAATTATTGGCATATCCTATTGTCGAAGGTTATCGATTAATTTGTGGCCAATATGTGTTGCTGTTGCTGTAGAGTGCATTGTATGCCAAATAATGGCATACATAAATGCAGAAGCTTAAACGCAATTGTTGTTGGCTAGAACGCAAGGAAAATTGAGAATATTTGAGCTGGAGCGAACATACATGAATTTACAAGGAAGTGCACAATCCAAATGTGAATAGGATTTAATTGTTGAATATGCGTACACAAATAGTTACGTAGGGTGAGTTTTTTAGAGGTATACAATTATATTGAAGAATATGCAGATGTCTGATTAGCTGTCAAAAGGAACACATATGTTTGACTTTTATGTTTGACTATTTTAAATTGTTTAAAAATGTATTAAAAACTTGGGTTCTTTGCAGTAAACTTACACCTATATTTAGCCATTCGATCATCTTCAAAGTTGAGGCTCATTTATGGTTTGACAGGTGTGAAAATAAGCAAAAATGTTATAGTGAAGTATGGAAAAATCTGAAGAGATAATCCTTGGCATGCTGAACAAAATATTAACTTGAGTTTTTGGTTAAAGTAAATGGTCTCAGTTGGTCGATGCCTTAAATTAATGAAACTAGCTCTCTATTGGAATGAAATTTTGTTTCGATTTGATTCAATTCTTATCCAGAAATGGATTCATCAATTCACCAACTAGTTTAGATAATTTGCCTGCAAATTAGAAGAAAAAACAGAAAGAATGATCTCCAGGAACGGCAGCCACTTGTCTATGACCATCAAATATTAACCATTTCATAATTTTTTTGTTTTTATTTAATTAAGAAATAGTTCTTACCAACTGAAAAAATGCCCTATGCTATGTGAGTTAACAGTTGTATACTATATGAAAATTTTAGTTATTTGTAAATATATATTTATATAATCATATATATATATATGCGTATATATATATATTAGACAATGCGTCTACTAACATCGTGTGAATTGAATTTCATCTTGATTGCTTTCGAAGTACTATAGCTTTTGGTCAGCATTTATGAAAATTTGAGTATTGAAAATATATGCTTAATTAATTTACAATTACTCCAATTAAATCACAAGAAAATTGAAGATTAATTAAATTAGTAAGGCATGGCTTGAATATAGCAATAAACTGGCATGTCTTTTCGAGTAGATTTCATTGGAAAGTTTATTAAAGTTGTGGGGAAATAGTAAATTTCGATTGTAATTACTTTTTGATGAAGATATGTAGTTTATGAATTTGATAAAAAAATCCAAAACTACAGATATTATATATACATATGTATATACATTAGAATAAAAATAATTAGAAAGAAATGCTATTTTCAAACAGGTTTTAATGCCAGCGTGGACTTCGGCGGCTTCTAAAACGATATCACAATATATATAATAATAAAAATAAAAAAACGTTTCAAATGCCAGATATATGGTATACAGCTGGAAGCTGTTCGAAGCAATTTTTGAAAAAAAAAAGTCAAAATCAAATTTACATTAATTACAATAATGGAAGTTTTGCCTATAAAGACATTTCATAGTAAGCAGTAACAGTTAGCTCTGTCTATATTTTACCACAATACAGATCATATTTTGCAATCAGAAATAAACGATCAATTATGTTTTTGTTGTTGTAGGGGCAGTGGTTGTAGAATGCTGCCGAGAAATCCGGGTGCGTTCCGGTTACATACTCCTCCAAGATATAATTCCTTAATTAATATGTTCTTACGAGTTCTTACTCCAAGTTCCATTATAGTTTTGGAACGATATTTTATTATAATATTATATATTGTATTGCGATGACGAATAGAAATATTTCTAAGGTGACATAAATTAACTTTTTTTCAATGAACAATAATATACATAACTTTTCACTCCATATGACGCAATTTGAAATTTTCAAACCGCGTATAGGGAATATTAAGTTTACCAGCAAGTTTGAGTCGATCTTGCCATGTTCGTTTGTTCGATTTAAATATACGAAGTTGTACTACACACGTCCTTTTCTTCCCAAGAGGCTGTTCGTTCTCTATATCTTACAGTTGCCAAACATCGCTTACGACCAAACGCCTGTTCTTGTATG